AACATAACACCAATGTACATAATGCTTACAAAGTCACACTTAGAACAGTTGGTAAGGAGAATTAGACAGTCAAGGAGTAAACAAAAAGAAAAAATATAAAGAAAAAGTGGAAGACTTGAAGTGACTATCAGAAAAGGTGACATTTAAGGCTAAAAAAAATACAAGAACCATGGATGGCCATGATATAATGATAAAAAGCTACTACAAATTGCCAAGTTCCAACAGTCGTCGAATAGAGAGCATGACACTGTGTACCGGCGTGAACAAAGTCAGAACTGTGACTATAAAGAAGCGTTACAGAGCAGGCCTCCAGCGTGGCAATCTCCTCATCTTGATGGCATGGAATCTCCAACTGCCTTGAGGACAGGTTTAAGGTAACAAAGTAAGTGATTTTAAGTAGTGTACTCATTGTCTACATGCAAATGTGGAATGAAAATAGGTTAAAACAAATGTTATTTACACATGTCTAGTTGAGGCATGTCCAACAAAAATGTGTCATGTAAACCTGAGAAGAAAGACCATGTTAAGGGCTAGCCTCAGACAAAATCACAAAATAACAGAACTCACAAATATATACTTTTTTGTCACTTCTACGCTCCACCCAGATGCGCAGTAAACCACCTACCTACTCAGAGCTAGCAGCTTTGTGAGTGTTCTGAAAATAATCTTGTCTTCGTTCTATTTACTAGCAAGGGAAATGGAAGAGAATTGACTGACTCCGTTCAGAGCACTAATTTATCTTTAGTCTTACAAATAATCAGATAATATAACTGCAATCGCCTTTCTGCCTACACATAAAGCTAACCCATTCAAACTGAAGAGGCAGCATTGATTCTCTCTTCCTTCTTAAGAGTTAGGCAAAAATAAAACCAGCTTAATCCATTCTGTTAATTGTTTAATGTATAACATATAATATGCTTATTGACTTTTGTTCTTAAGGAAGAAAACTCTGAAGATTAAAAATGGGGCAGAAAACCAAAATGATTTAGCGGGAACACACAATTGACTAAGAGATAAATATATAGAGAAAGATAGATTAAACAGCTTCTATTATAGCTAATCTATGAGACAGCATGTTTATGTAAAATAAGCATATTTAACTTCATGTTAACTTTCAAAATCATACTGAAAGTCTGTCCTCAATTTCCATGTGCCTGAGTGGTATAATGGGAAGAAAATAGTACTTGTTATATTAACAAAACACTTTTAATTTTAAGTTTTACTTGAAATTTTGAAGTGATATAAAAAACACAACGTGAAAACAGTGCATGTCATTATGTATGTTTCTGAGATACTCCTTTGTTATTTATTAAAACTTTTAAGGGGAAGAGAAAAGTACAACAGATTTTCAAGGGGGAGGAAAAAGATGAATTCTTATATGGGTCAGAATATACTTGAACTGAAAGTAAAAATCAATCCAGATTACCACTGTCTTCACTTTCATTATAATTCTTTGTAGTTATAATTTCTAGAGAAAATAAAGAAAAAGTGGTTGGTAACAAAATGCTCAAGATGTATATACCTTTTCCATTATTGCAAGATGTCAAGGGGTCAAGGGCAAGGGTGTCCACGTTCTTAGTGGAAAGAGATGTGAATTGCATTCCATTTTCCATCACCAACTTGCCTGGTGGTCTTGGGTGAGAAAATTTATCTCACGAAGCCTCAGTTTCTTCAACTGTGAAATGATAGGGTTAGACTAGAGAAAAACTATAGTTCATTTCAGCCCTAAAATGACTAGGATTATAGTGTCATAGCTAAGTAGAGATATCGGGGCAGCCTTTAATTATTGGTGGTGTTACCAGTGCTTAAGCCATATGGAACTTCTTCAACCTTGGCTATATCTATCACAGAACAAAAGCTTGCCATTTAAAAGAAAAACTTTCCAAAATATTTCTCATGCTTGCTCTTCAAGTTTATTTCTAAAGGGGACCAAAAGCCATTTTCCGTAATTAGTAACAAACTACATTTTCTTTAAGGAATAGTAGTAAGGGTGACACAGAATAAGAAAGAGATCCCCAAAGGGAAGGTTCTTCCCAAATATTACCATAAGAGTTGGATCATAAAATGATTAGAAGTGGAAATTATACCTGTATAGTTAGTTTGGGCTTCTCTTGAAAATTGAATTCCAACAGTGTTTTTATTTTAATTTGGCGAAAAATGATTGCAGAAACTTAATGAGACATGTAGTCCTCCTCTTTGATTAAAATTACGCAAGATGTTAGAACTACAAGCACAAATCCTTCCATTCGTCTTTCACTTTCTTGTTTTCTAAGAAGAGAATGCCAACAACATGGATTCCCCCCCACCCCCCGTCCTTCTCTTATGCACTACACGAAAAATCTGGTGCTACCTAATTATTTCCTCAGCCTAAGCAATAATAATAATGAGCATTTGTTGAGTACTTACAATGTAGGTTCTAACCTAAGTATCACACAAGTGTTACTTAATTTATTCCTTATAACAATCTAGAAGGTAGATATCATTGTAACCTACCATCTGTAGATGAGGGAGCCGAAGGTCAGAGTGGGCCCAGTGTTGCATGGACAGGAAGCAATGTGGCCACCTGGCTTTAGAGCGTGCGTGCTTACCCACCAGAGGATACTTCCTCTCCACCCTACAGCACACATGGAAACAAGAGGTGAAAATCTTAAAACGAAGCTCAGTTGAATTATATAGATCCTTATTGTAAGTTCCAAATAAAATTCTGGTGGTAAGCTATTTAAAGTTCCAATTCCAAGTACAGGGATGTCCATGGAAGGTTTTATATAGTATGTGTAGAACCTGTCCATGGCTGGGTTTTCTTTTGTTCAGTTTTCTATCTCGGCACCTGGCATATGGTAAATAATCTCTGTGTCTTTATTGTATAAATGAGTATTTTAACACAGTATTGGAATGCAAGTTTTAATCTGAATCAATCTGTTTTAGATCTGTTTTGTATACACGTTTAACTTGATACTTTTGAAGCATCTCACTTCAAAAGTATGTAATTTAAATAGTATGAACTGAACTAACAGTTTTTTACACTGTGAGAAGACACAAAACTATTAGAGATTGTTAATAACAATGATAACAAATTCAGTTTGTTCACTATTTGATCTTCTTTTCAATGAAGCCTTTCATGTTTTATTTGAGGAGAAAAGAAGAATGCCAAAACCCATGTGGGTTCCCTCTTCAGTCTAACATGTACTTTTCTGAAATAACAAATGTAACTGAGAAGCTTGCCTGAGTGGCATAAAAGAGTCAGCTAATTGGTAGTCAGCCTTTCTTTTTATAGTTGACTATATGTCTAAATGTTGATTTAGGAGAAAGATACATTTTTACTAAAGAAAGCCCTGTATGCTATATTAAAAGTGTGATGACTTTGCTTTTTTAAAGAATCCATAAGCCACACCCATCTTCTCTGAAAAGTTCAGGCTACCATGTGGCTTTCTAGTGTACAAAACTCCTTCTTTCTTGTTAGATCTCTTTCCTAAGTCGGTATTTGCACGTTGACCCAAACAGATTGGTCTAGCTTATATATCAGTGACAGCAACCAGTCATTTTCTTAGAATATTGTAACTTCTTTTATTCTTATAACTTTTTTTCCCTTAACTCTGAAGTTTTTCTAAAAGCCCCTTTTTTTACATCTTTCAGTTTAAAAGCCAACTTTTTAAATGAAGATTTAGAGACCATATTTCCAATAATGTTGCAAAACAGAGGCTCTTATAGCAGCATAAATTATAAATGTGAGATAATCAAATTTTCTAGAGAAACAAAACTCAATATTTATAAAAATACCAATTCTCACATATTAGTTATATTTTACAACATTTAAAAAGTAACGTTTGTCTTTCATTAAATAATATTTATCATCAGCCCACCAGTCACTTGATTTTTTTTTTTTTTTTTTTTTTTTGGGACGGAATTTCGCTCTCGTTACCCAGGCTGGAGTGCAATGGCGCGATCTCGGCTCACCGCAACCTCCACCTCCTGGGCTCAGGCAATTCTCCTGCCTCAGCCTCCTGAGTAGCTGGGATTACAGGCACGCGCCACCATGCCCAGCTAATTTTTTTTTTGGTATTTTTAGTAGAGACTGGGTTTCACCATGTTGACCAGGATGGTCTCGATCTCTCGACCTTGTGATCCACCCGCCTCGGCCTCCCAAAGTGCTGGGATTACAGGCTTGAGCCACCGCGCCCGGCCCACTTGATTTTTAAAAATACCTTTTCAGTACTCTATTGAACAATAAAAGTAATGAAGCATTTGAATCACATGCTTTCATTAAAACATAGACAATGCAAAATAAAATCTGTAATTGTAAAATTAAGCTGGTGGTCATGAAGTACTTTTGAAACTTTGTGTGCTTCTGTATTGATTTTTTTTTACATTTGTAATAAAATGCAGACCCATTTTAAGGAGAAAAATGACTAATAAGATGAGAAAATTATTTTTAAATATAAATATAACTTTTGCTGTTTCTTTTATCATTCACAACTTTGTTTCTCATAAGTGTTTTTTTGTTTAAAATTATTCATAAATGGCATAAAATATCAACTTCAAAAATATAATGTATTGAAGATGAGACTCTCTCTCCATATATGTACATATAAATCTGTATATACGCATACACACACACACATATACCACACTTAAATAGCTGCTAATTCCGCCAGTACAAACAGATAGTTTTTCTCTAGTCTATCTTCTGTGTATCAATCAATAAGTTATGTATGGAATACATAGTATCTCTTTATTATTCAAAAATCCTCGTGAAATAGATATGACAATTTTATTTCTACTGATGAGGAAATAGGCTTAGAGAGTTTGAGTAATTGGCTCAAGTCACCTAGCAAATGAGAGAAAAAGCCAAAATTAAGCTACAGCAAGCCCTCTGTATCTTAACATTCCACTCATTCCTCCAAAACATCTACTAAATGCCATGTACTGTATCTATGACGCTTCCTTTTGCTTGAATGTGGCTGATAGCCATCCAAAATAAATATACGTACACAAAGGATGACAGCTCAGATGAAAATTAAGCAGGGCGCCATTGTGGGTGATGACCAGAAGATGGCAACTACTTTTTGGTTGTGACCAACAAATACTTCTCTAATAAGGTGGTATTTAAGCTAAGATTTGTGTGTCAAGGAGGAAATAAGCATAAGAAGATAACGGGGGAGCAGCTGTGACCATAATGCAGAGGTAAATCTTCAGCTATTCAAGGACATTCAAGGACCAGAACTTTACCGGTATAGCGATCACACCCTGAATTAGGGAAGAATGATCTGCATTAACATTAGAGAGGTCGAGGCAGGGACCAATCAAGTAGAGTGTTGAGCAGTCAAGTAATCTGGTTTATCCCAAGTGTTGTGGAGAGATATTGGAGTGTTTTAAGTAGAAGAATGGCATCATCTGGGTTTCATTTTAAGTGGATGACTCTAGCTGTTCTGCTGGAAGTGGATGTAGGAAGGGAAAGGAGATCAAATCTATATTCATAATAATTACATGTGGATACTTAGATGTGTAGATTCACGGAAAATTATAGGCATGTTGAATTTAAGACACTTACATTTTAAAGAATATACTCATATTAATAATCTTGAAATTATCACCTTGCACAAAAGCACAAAATTAGAGTATATGCTTTAAAAATGTCCCATTCAGTGAAAAGCTATTGAAAACATATTTGTAGATTTTTAAAAGTATTTTAGCAAACAGCATTATGAAAAGTATGTTTACAATAACGTAGAATTTAATGTGTTGCTTTAAATAACGTATGTTATGGCTTTTTGGACAATAGCACTTCACAGGGTTTATGACTCAGGCTTTAAAGTAATATTCCAAAATGACAACACAAATTCTAGCGAGTGAACACGCTTTTGATGTAGACTGATTCGATAGCACTTTCTGACTGCTAATGGAATGTTTGACACTTAAAAGAAAGCACATTAGGTACTAAAGCATTAATTTGTTGTGAAGCTTTGATTATTTCTTTTATTTTTGATATTTTTAAGATAGAATACCACTTTTAAATCTCTGATCACAAAAGATCATTTTCATACTATTCTTAGCACTTTAGAGCTGTTTATCAAACACATTTGATGTGATATTTGGTCCTGCCAGGGTTATATAGTACAGATCTAAAAATGTTCTTTTTTAAAACCACAATTCTGCAAATAAATAATATTTAAATAGATGAAAATTTAGAAAAGTGTCCTGAGTCTTCATTACAACTAAGCAATTTTCAGAACAATTTTATATGTTTGATACACTGGTACTTACTGCTGTTATGAAATCAGTTAATTAGTATAGAATAAAGATATAATCATGATTTCTCAATATAGACTGAACTAGTATATGAAAACACATTCCTGGAAGAAAACATGTATGTATAAATCTGCTTATATTATAATGATATTACCATATGTAATATTAAACATTATTCCAAATCTCTTTACCATTTAGCAATTCTTAGGAAAGTACTGCTACCTTTCACATACAGCATGGATGTGCCACAAAGCGTGAGCACAGCCCTAGACTATCTTCCTGTTAATAGAAAATTCCCGGCCAGGCGCGGTGGCTCACGCCTGTAATCCCAGCACTTTAGGAGGCCGAGGCGGGTGGATCACAAGGTCAAGAGATCGAGACCATCCTGGTCAACATGGTGAAACCCCGTCTCTACTAAAAATACAAAAAATTAGCTGGGCATGGTGGCACGTCCCTGTAATCCCAGCTACTCAGGAGTCTGAGGCAGGAGAATTCCCTGAACCCAGGAGGCGGAGGTTGCAGTGAGCCGAGATCGCACCATTGCACTCCAGCCTGGGTAACAAGAGCGAAACTCCGTCTCAAAAAAAAAAAAAAAAAAAAAAAAAAAAGAAAGAAAGAAAGAAAATTCCTTTCATTTCATTTATTATTTTTATAGATTTTTAAAAGAGTTAAACAAGGTTAAATTTGTTTTGTGCTTTTATGTGTGTTAATGAAAATCATTCTGCCAATACAGGCAGCAGTTATGAGTGTAGCAGATAGAATGTTCATTACTAATAGACGACAAATACTGTAGACCATGGAGAAGTAAAGCTAAGCTGCTTTCCTTTTATTTTAATAATAAGGCCCTCATAAAACCTTTAGAAAACTATTATCATTTACATAAAAATTAATTTCTATTTTTTCTAATATTATGTATTTGTGTTATGCCTTTAGAATAACTTCTTACATTTCACAGTTCAAAGGAGTTGGAGCAGATTTTGAAAAAACAAATAATTAGCAGTTTGAGTCTATCTGTCTGCAGTATTTACTAGTCTGATCAATTGCTCACTAAGCTTGTTATTTTACAAAACAAAAAGCACATATTTTAATTTTCCTAGGATTAAAATGTTTAGGCTCAAATATTTTATAAAATTTTATTTAGTAAAAGTATTTATTGAGCTATTAACATGTTCAAAGCAATGTGTTGGATCCCTTGTTATTAAAGACGAATAGAATACAAATTCTGCCTTTTAGAAGGTTATGGTCTAAATGAGAAGATAAGCACCTAAAATAAAAATGGGGAAGAAGTACATTCTTAGAAGCATATCTAGTAAGGTGATGTTGGAGTTGAGAGATGGGACAGATTGCTTCCCAAGACACGGAAACTTCTTGGAGTAATTGGCATTGAGTTCTAATATGTGGTAGAATTAAAATACATGATCATATAGAGAAAGACTTTTCAAGGATAACACAAAAGCAAAAGGTGAGAAGTAGTTTTCTATTGCAGAGTAAGCAATTGTCACTAATTTGCAGCTTAATATAACACACATTTGTTACCTCAAACTTTCTGTGGATCTGGAACCTGGGAAGGGCTTAGCTGAGTTCTCTGGGGTGAACAAGATTGCAATAAGAATTTGTTTGGAAGTGTAGTCTCATCTAAACCTCAACTGGAGAAGGATTCGTTTTTGTTGGCAAAATTTAATTCCTCGCAGTTGAAGGACTGAGAACTTCAGAGTCTTGTTGATATTCCACTGGAGACCATCCTCAGCTTTCAGAGGCCACCCTGTGGCAAGTCCCTTGTCACGGTGGTCATCCAGCCTACAGCCTACAGCCTACAGCATGGCAGTTTAGTTCTTTAAGTCCAGCCAGGAAAAAACTAAACTTTATAAGACGATTCCACAGTCTTCTCTATGTAATCATTAACACGTGATCGCATTACTCCTAGCTTATTTGCAGTATCCTATTGGTTAGAAACAAGTCACAGGTCATGGTCATACTCAGGGACAGTACTATTCAAGGCCATAAGTATCAGGAGATAAGGATGATGGGGGCCACGATAGAGTCTATCCACCACCAAGTGGAAGGTCAAAGTTCTCGTTTAGCTGAAGGACACGTGTCCTGTGACACATGTACACAGGACAATCAGGTTGCAAAAGCAGTTTGGGTTCAGGTTGTGGAAAGAATTGAATGTGCTACACTGGAGTTGAACATTATATTTTACATACAAGAGAAAAGCATTTTTACATTTTTGAATAGTAGAGCAAACTTAATGGAAAGAGGCTTCAGAAAGTTTAATCTGGAAGTGAATCACAAAATGAATAAGGAAAACATAATTGGTTTAGAAATAAAAGTTAATATATTAACTTGTTGAAGGAATGAATTTAATAATGAGTATTGTTATAGAAAACATGACTGTAGAATTAGAATTTAAAATGAAACTTTTGTTTCTTAAACTGAATTACAAAAGGGAAGGGTGATCAGTAACTCACCAGTTCCTTACTAGGTGAAAATTACAGACTTCCCTTTATCCACACATAAAATGTAAGATGTTGTTTGGGAATGTCTATACAAGAAGGAAAGGTGGGTCTGTGAGACACTCAGATGTGGAAAATGAGACTTTATATTACTCATCAAGGGGAAGAAAGTGAACCTTGTAAACATAAGTTACCATCTTTAAAAGATTATATATTTAAAAAGAATAACAGTAGTATGTCTAGGAAAATATTGAGTATGTATCATTTTGTGTAATTAAAAAAAATTTCACTCTCCCTTTTACAGCACCATCAAATTAAAGAAAAGCTGATTTTTTCATAAGCATCATATAAGGGAAGTGGAAATCAGGATAAAGAAATATGACAGATGGAAATAAATAGAAGTTCATAATAAAGAGACATCAGAGAGAGATAATAGTAATAACTGACATTTTTAGTCTAGGTAATTAAGAGGTTAGTGATAACCAGAAAGATATGTTCAAGAAAGAGTAGGTTTTAGGACCACAAGAAAAATACTAGTTTATATATACTAAATGTAAATGGTTTCCAGAATTGCTGCTGAAGATGTACCATGCATGCTAGAAGCCACGGGCAGTCAGGAGGAGAAAAGTGGATTCTTGGAAGTCATTAGGTAAAGGTGACAGTTAAGAGCATTAGACTGAGCAAAGTTACCAAGGAAGTGAGTGTAGTGAGAGAGAAAAACAAAGACTGTGAACAAATCTTTATGAAGTATCTGTATCTCAAAGATGAGGAAGCAGAACTGGAAGAACTTGAGAGAGAGAAACAGAAGCCGTGATTCTAAAGGTAGCTACAAATAACAGAGAAAGGGTGGAGTAGTAGCTCAAAAGAGAGAATCATCTAAGTAAGAGTTGCAAAGGTGAACTTTTGAGTGATCAAGCGAATATTGCAGCAAGCAAGTCTAAAGTAATAAGACAACAGATCCTGGAGAGGATGTGGAGAAGTAGGATCACTTTTACACTGTTGGTGGGAGTGTAAATTAATTCAACCATTGTGGAAGACAGTGTGGCGATTCCTCAATGACCTAAAAATAAAAATAGAAATCCCATTTGACCCAGCAATCCCATTACTGGTTATATAACCAAAGGATTATAAATCATTCTACTATAAGGACATATGCACACCAATGTTCACAGCAGCACTGTTTACAATAGCAAAGACCTGGAACCAACCCAAATGCCCATCGATGATAGACTGGATAGGGAAAATGTGGTACATATACACCATGGAATATTACGTAGCCATCAAAAATGATGAGTTTGTGTACTTTGTAGGGACATGAATGAACATGGAAACCATCATTCTCAGCAAACTGACACAAGAGCAGAAAATCAAACACCACATGTTCTCACTCATAGGCGACTGTTGAACAATGAGAACACATGGACACAGGGAGGGGAGCACTACACACTGGGGTCCGCTGGGGGGAAATGGGGGAGGGATGGG